GAACACCAACAATAGCAAAATGATTCCAATAACAATGCGACGATTCTGAAATTAAAGCTAAAGAAAAAAAATTGTTAGTTTTATAAAGAAAAAAAAACGAAGAAAAACAGAAAAAAAAAAAAAAAGCCAAAAGAAGAGACGAAAGAAAAAACAAATGATGAAAGAAAAACAAAAGCAGAAAAAAAAACAGAAGGGAAAAAAAAAGGAGAAAAGCACAAGAAAAACTAAAGAATAAAAGAACAAATAGACAAAAGAAATCAGAAGAGTAAAAAAAAGAACAGACAAGAAACAAAAGAAAAAACAGAGAAGAAAAAAACAAATGAGTGAAAAAAGAAAAATAAGTGAAAAAAAAGATAAATAGGCGAAAGAAAAAACTGATAAATGAAAAAAAAGACAAAAAAAAAAGACAAAAAAAGGGAAAAGATAAAAACAAAAGAAACAAAAAATAAAATAAAATAAAGAAAAAATGAAAGAAATAACAAAAGAAAAAAAGAAAAAAAGACAGAAAAAAAAAGGAAGAAAAAACAGAAGAAAAAAAAAAGAAAATACAGAAAAAAGATAGAAAAAAAGATAGAAGAAAAAACAGAAGAAAAGATAGAAGAAAGACAGAAGAAAAATAAAAGAAAAGATAGAAGAAAAGATAGAAGAAAAATAAAAGAAAAAACAGAAGACAAAATAGAAGAAAAAACAGAAGAAAAAACAGAAGAAAAATGAAAGAATAGACAGAAAAAAAGACAGAAAAAAGACAGAAGAAAAAATGAAAGAAAAAAAATCTAAAGTAAACAAAAAATTAAAGACAAAAAAAAAATCAAAAATGAAAAAAAAAAAAAAAAGAAAAAGAAAAAAAGTATGAAAAAAAGAAAAAAAAAAGAGAGAAAGAAAAAAAAAAACAAAAAAAAAAAAAAAAAAAAAAAAAAAAAAATCAAAAGAAAAAAAAAAAAAAAAAAAAAAAAAAAAAACAAAAAAAAAAAAAAAAAAAATATAAAAAAGAAAAAAAGTATGAAAAAAAGAAAAAAAAAAGTGCGAAAGAAAAAAAAAATCT